AATACCTTTTCAAGCCCAAACATCAACATCAACAGTTACACAGATACCCAAGGGGGTTTGAAGCCTCTGGACTGTACATTAAACGAGATAGTTGCTTTGCATAGTATCACTTTATTATATTATAAATTATGTCCATATAAGTAAATGGATACCAAGATTATCTACAAGCCAGCTCCACTTCAGGCATCTTATCCACTAACCAGTAGGCAACTAAAATATTGGTGTCTTGCAGTGCATTAGGCTATCAGAAGCAAATCATAGGAGTAGAATACTGTGGTGTTGACTATGGTTATTCATCGTATACCAAAGTATCTCAACTATACCTCGATTACTCTGTTTCAAACTGGATACAAGAACTCAGGCTGTCATCTAAGAAACTAAGGTTTGTTGTCAAACATAACCAAAACAGTAAGGTAACACTGCCTGCTCAAAATAGCCTAAATAATTTTGATTAGTTGAGGTTCAAAGTCCCAAGTCAACGTTAAAGTTCACATAACTGGTTGGGATGAAGTTAAAGACTTTTTGCAATTTTAATGCCGGTCAATATTGGAAAGTGTTTTTGCGAAAACTTATCAGTCTATTATTTTTAAGCGTGGAGGGAAAAGTTCATCAAATACCTTTCTTCCAAGTGTAAGCAAATCATCTCCTTTCTTATCAGCTGCAATTCAGTTATTTAAGGCTATGTCACAGCATATATTCATCAAAAGAGTATTCAGGAATAATTTATCACAATCTAGCGAAACATTAATTGTCAATCACAAGACACCATTGTATTATCAATCTCTATTTCAGGGGAGGGGAGGAGGTTATAAAGCTGCATATGCCTAAATACTTTTCCAACCAATCGCTTTGCTTCCAAGTTTCGGAAAAAACACATGAACCAACGTGTAAGTATCAGGTTGATTGAAGAGATGAAAAATCAGTAGACTTTAAATCTAGTAGGCAAAGAAGTAACCAAGGCCACTGTCATATATATGTATTGGTTGACGTTGTAAATACATCTTTTGTTATACTGCCGCCTTTTTCATTGAAGAGGAAATAAGCGATCATGAAGGATAGTGTCTGAAGGTAATGTTTACAATGGTCCGAACAGATGAACATCTTAAGTTATATCAAGTCATTGTTTAGATGTAAAACAACAAATTGTAAAAGTGGACAGTATTTCATAGAAGTGGAACTGGAACAGTCTAAATACCTAAATACTTTTTTATATCATTAGACAGAGTTGACTAGAAAGTATACCCTGACAAATGAATCCAAGACATTTTAACTGATCAAATAACTTCAGTAGATCCAGGCAAAATAGGTCGAGATATGGTATTCATCATGAAGTGACGTTAATTGAAGTACAATTAAGTACCTTAATGAAATGGAAAGCTGTTTTCCTCTAGTATGCGACTCCACCGAAGTACTTACCTATATCCCAGTCAGGGATCGGACTCAGGATATTCATAGTCTGCCACCATCAAGTTATATTACTAAGCCACTGGGTCCAGACCCACTGGTTCACATTTCCTACTTCTATCATTTCACCAGATAATGTGACCGCCATACATTGCCATCACTGAGTAACTGTCTTCACATCCGACTTCGTATGCCCCACAGGTTACGATTTCTGATTATAACTGCGGGAAACGTAATGTGAAGCAAATCACTAAGGAGCACTAGAGAATAATTCAATTTGGAAGTTTTTGAGGGGTTAGCAAACATCATCACTGTGAGAAATTGAAGCTTAGCATATAATTTTGCCAGGATAGGGAATGATAGAAAGCTGTGTCTTCACCTTCCGTTTAACATTTTTGATGCCGAATATGCAGAAGATTTATTGTTCAATTGCATTGAAGTTATTGGTCACTGAACTTTTGTTAACGACAATAGGACATCAAAAGATGGAGGCCGAAATTTCATATTCTAAGGAATCATTTGTACTTTGTAGTTTTAATAGACAGAATCAAGCAGTAATGAACTTCTAAACTGTACAGTAATGAGAAGAGTCATTCACCAGAGGAAGCGGCTACCCTACATCTTTAGATTCTTCATTTACCTGTCAGTTACCACTGACCAATAACGGAATCCAAAGTTCTCTAAGCATTGTCTCAAGCATGGTTTTGATATTATTTGCTTGGTGATGGCTATCGATGGAGCTCAGAAGGCTGATTTCCTTCTACTTGAGATTCATTGGCTGAATGAACCTGCATCATAGTAAGTGTTGGTGTTCCCATTCAAATTCGAAGGAAATATTATCGAAATGAACCTTAGAGTTATATCAAGTCATTCTTATCAAGGAGTCAATAGGCCAGCACAAAATGATCAGTTTGACTTAGTGTGTTGATAATCAACGAGGAATCACAAGCGTCAGTAAATAAAAAGTGATACCCACCGGGAAGAAAGCAGCTGTCAAGGCTCAGTACGCTAGTGTTTGAAATAATGGGTGATGTCTTCCAGTTTTAATGAGCACAGTATTACTTACTGACATGCAGGTATATACAGTTCACGAGCTTTGAATCGAACGGGTTCACGTACTGGACTTGATTGTCGGCTTCAATCAAGCAGAAAACGTCTAAAAGGCTACAAAGACTACACCTTCAGTTGAAGTTGGATGGTCAACCTTTATAATGGGTCAATGATTGTTCACCTAATTTTTTTTACTCAAACCACTTAACGTAAGATTTTAATTCTAAAGATATAATCACATACAGAGTTCATGTAAGTGGTCTTATAAGAACCACAGAACCAATGGAAGTACACCCAGTTAGTTCAAAGTAATATTTGACTCATTAATGAACTAATTATTTACTTCAAGATATAGTTAATGGTTCTTAATTAGGCATGGGTTTTCTTTCTGGTTGATTTAAAGCTTTGCTAATTTCGTATTAGACAGGCTGCTCACTGTTTATTTCATGTCATCCACTGTAGTTAGGCATCCCTTCTGAATAAATATGATATATATGCAGTACATTTTCAGCCTAGGAGAAAAAATTACAAAGGTTTTTGGGGGATAATCTACAATCCACATAAATAGGATGATGAATTTACAAACTGCACAGTTCATTGTGAAATTCTTCACAACTGAGTGGTTTTTCAACTTCCCACTTTGGGTGTCAATAGGGTTTCAGTTAAAAATGACAAAATGAACCGTTAAATTTGTAGATCATCTGCAAATTACTGAACGTACTAAAAATACACCGATCAATGGAAGTCATGTGGTCACATTCAGTTGGTTTGAACAATTCGGCTCTGTGAGATGGGTTTGTTCAAGTACGCTACTAATAAGTTCAGTCCGAAGAAAGAGAGAATGGCTGTCAGGTGTTCAAATCGTTTTATCTGTTTGGTGACATCTACGGATTAGCGTGAATGGTTTCAAACTAATCTTGTTGAGTAGTGTATTTCTGAGGTCTGCTTGTTGACGTATAAGATACAAATAACTTTCTGAGCGTCGATAACTGAATTAAAAGGGATCTCATTCCTTGTTTTTTGACACATTCAGGTAGGTGAATCCTGTGTTCATATCACTTCTCAAAGTTTGTTTTAATGATAAATAAGCCTTATTTAAAACACATACGGTATGTCAGGCTGATTATTTTACTTTGAATAATACAGATGTTATCATTCCGTTGAAAAAGCACCTAACTAACACTCTCTTGTACTAAACTAACGAGAAGCTATGAAAGCTTAAATATTGTCGTGTCCAGATAGGTTTTCTGTGGGTAGATCATTTCATGGATCCATCCTGTTGCCGACTAAATATATCTCAGAAAAGCAAACAGTCATCATTCTCTTCTATATGTGCCAAGGATTTGCCGCTCTACACTTCATTCAGTCGCTTCAGACTTGAAGTGGACTGACTTCAGTTAGTTAGGTGGTTATTCAAAAGGATTCAACGAATAAGCAATGATAATAGTTTGGAAGATGAAATAGGAACATTGTCTGAAATATTGTTGAAAAATGACTATCTATCAGAACTTATTGGGCAGCACAAAATAATCAGATAACCAAAATCAGCACTTCACTTTATCCCAAAGAAATATGTCTTCATCAGTCTCCCTTACAAACATGAGTCTCATAGTACAATCCATAACCAGAGACTTAACGCTGCTATTAGGAGAACTAACTACGCACCTAGGACTCGATTAATAGAAACTACCAGGCCTGTACTTTCTCCCAAACCGTTTCAATAAGTTAACGATAGTGTCACATCCCATTACACCCACCAATTCAAATGTATATCTAGTGACATATACATAGGTAAGGCTCATACACCCATTCAAATAAGAGGCTTAAAACATATTCCAAAGTGGCTTAAGAAGTAAATTATATCACCTGGATCCATAAACGTTGGTAGCAGACGTCCAATCTCTTCAATCATGGAACATATCGTTGTAAACTTTAGACCTATTCATAACCAATTTCTTATCATATGAAATCTCATATAGTAAATTCAATACGGAAATTAAGTTTGGTGTACTATTAACTTTGCTCTATCAATTTTCACTGTTATTTAGTATTTAATTCAACCTTTCTACTTAGCTTCTCTTCATTTTCTCACTTCTTATGTTAATGAAGTTTCATATAAATGGCTATAACAAATGCATGTATATGATCAGATTGTTAGAAATCTGCTGTACAAATACATTACTCACTTTAGACAATTTGTGTCTTCCTATTGTTTTATTGAAGATAAAATTAAACATTAATGAACAAAATGGGTAGAGTAATTCGCCAGTGGAGGCGCTTATCCTAACTTTTTTACTTTCTTTGTTTACCCTGTCAGCTACTGGTGACTAATTAATAATGGAGATTACAAGTATAAAATAACAACTGATATCTATTAGATGAGAAATGGCTCCGGTTCTCTATTCATCCAGTGTATAACGTTTTGGTGTTTGAAGTGATGGGTACTATGTTGTAATCATGCTTCTTGTATTCCTTTAATGAATCGTTTTTTTGAAAGTTTTTAAAGGTTAATCATTGTCTACTTTGAAATTCATGTTCTTTTTTAGGGAGTTTTATAATTCTGACAGTATTATTGCTGATGAATGTGATGTAAATGTGTTCTTATCATTGATAAGTAAGTTTCATAGATATTTTCAGTATGTTACGTAAGCATATATTAGTTGTAATTTACGTACGTATTATTACTATTATTATTTTTCCCTTGGGTACTAGTGGAATATAGGGCTTCAGTAGCACACCTTCATTGCACTCTCTTCTTCCCTGAAGTCTTTTGAACCTTACTCCACTACTGTCCAGAAGCTTTCATTTCTTCCTCACATGATCTCCTCCGTGTCACACTCAGACAGCATCGCCCAACTCGTCGTTTCCAGTTTGGATTTCACTGGAGGGCCTGGTCTGGTGCGTACTATCCCCAATTGGCCTTCTCAGTGTATTCCCAATCCATCTCCACTTCCTTCCAGTGCATATTTGTTGGGTAATAGGTTGTCGGTCGGTTCGTTGCCAGACTTCCTTGTTGCTTATTCTTTCTGACCATTTGATGCATATATATATTCCATCTTTGATATCCAAGAATTAAGCGTAAGCCCACAATTTTGAAAACAGACAGTTTCACTGAAAAGTAATCAGTTTCATTTAGTCAAATCCTAACAGCTGATTGAATTCTTTGAATTACTCCTGTAATTTGGTCACCAGTCTAGGAGACTTGGCAAGACGTATCTGTGATATCAAGGTAATGAATATTGCCTAAAGGATTCAAATCTACTCCACTTTGCTATGTAACCAGAGACCTTACCATTGAGTTATTCAGACCATGATTGGCACCGTTCTTAGTGTCACAACGAAAATGTAATTAAAAGTAAACTTACACTTATATCGACCGCAGTCATAACCCTTAATATGATATCAAAAGGTCAATTAACTTGAGTAGTAATGAATCAGTTCTGAAGCGGAAAGCTAGTCTCCGGAGTTCGCATAACAAGATGAAGAGATGGGTTCAGATTATTCAGATTCACCTCAGGAATAAGAAAACTAGTTAAAATTGTCACCTATTATTTAGCACTGTGATTTATTTATTGTAGTCGAGAAAAACTTATTATAACCAGAAAATCTCAGTAAGGATTCATAGAAAACTTTGAGATTGTCATAAAATTCCACATTATATTAAAATAATGAAAACTGTTGATGAAAGATGTTTTGTATTACTGTCAACTGTATAACGTCCGAACTAAATTGTTTATCTCAAGGTCGGCTAAAGCGGTTTTTTTAGACTCTTGAAGTACTCAACCACCTATTCATCTTAACTCATAAATATGTGTAGGTCACACAAGTAGCTAATATGCTAGTCAAAATGTTTTCATTGCATCAAGACCATACTCTTGGTAATTCAACATGTCAAGATAAGATCTAACAATATCTTCTTGATGGATCTCTGAAAACTAATGATGCCAAGCCGTGAACCTGGATATCTACTTGAGTACTTGCCTAATTCCATACTTACTTGCCTATTTACTTATTTACTACCTTTCTCACTCATTTAATTACTTCCTTACTTACTTATTTAGGTAGACATATCAATGAAGTCTTGCGCCTGAATATCCATATATGCAGATTTTTACTGTTTGTAGTCACCTCACTATGGATAGAAAAAGTCTCAGCAGATTAACTGACTTACTGAGGAATAATCGAACTACTATCCTATAGATAAAATATCTCAGTATGGCTATTATCAATTAAGATGTGCCAAATACTTTAATCTCTGAAAATTTAGAGTTCAGTGTTTAACAGTTACCATATTCAATATATTCTTGAAAAGTCTTGCTGTGATTGGTTGCACCTAGTACCAAGTGAAGAACTCATTCTCAGTGATAATTGACAAAAAGTTTACCTATTTACTTTCGATAGCGGTGCTTACATTAAAGACTGGAGTTTAAAGGGAATCCTTTCGAAGTAGGAAAATAGATTTCTTAAGATTCTTGATCTCACAGAAGCTGCTCCTCTATAAATTAATACCTTCCCAAGTTATTACATGTTTCAAAAGTGATTGATAATAAATTTGATCACCTTGTTCATAAAGGTAAATAAAAGTAATAACAAAATGGGACTAAATGTAACGATTATCAGTCCATGAATTCAAGGTGAAGATATGAATTTATGTGAATTAATGTGAGATTTCCAATAAACTATACACTTTCACCAACAACTGCCTACGCTAGCTTGATACTGAAGATCAGATGGCCAAGAAGAATAAGCAACATGGAGCTGTGGCCTGGCAACGAACCAACAAAGCGAGAACCTACCGCTCAACAAATATGCACTGGAAGGAAGTGGAGATGGATTGGGCATATACTGAGAAGACCGACTGGGAACATCACGTGCCAGGCCAGGCACTCGAGTGGAACACAGATGTGAAACGACGAGTTGGGCATTTGAGGTGAGGGTGACATGGAGGAGATCATGTGAGGAAGAAATGAGAGGTTGTGGGCTATTGTGGAGCCAGTTTCAAAAGTTTGCAGACACCAGAGTGGAATGGAGGCGTGCTGCTGAATGTGTATGTTCCACTATGAACCCAAGGGACAGATAATAATAATAAATGCGGGATAAGTACTGAAAATCGGAAATTTAATTTGCTTCTCTTCGAACGTAGTTTACTTATCGCTAGTATGTACAATGTGCTGTTCTGAATTTACTGTTCATATTGGTTAAACAGTCAACCCCTCTTTTATGTTAAGTGCATCGCAACTGGAGATAATGTAAAATGACTCAGTTATCCATCTTTCCTTGTAGTCTGAGTCATTTTGATGTTTTCGATATCAACCATGAAGATTTCCTGGATGGCATAGACAATAATTGTTGGCTTCAGTTGTTCCATCTTTAGCTCTTCAAAGTTATTTAGAGATTATTTTGCTCAGATTTTCTAGTGTTTAACAAGAATGAGGATTTCATAGGATGGTTTCCATATTATGATAGGCATCACAATCAATACAGCCTAATCTGTAGACATAATTCTGTGTGATAGTGGAAGAAAGAGTGCCTTGTGTACAAATAAAAGCACTTCTTCTGGGAACGAACCAACCAAGAACCTATCACCCAACAAATATGCAGGAAGAAGTGGAGATGGATTGGGCATGCACTGAGAAGGCCGACTGAGGACATCACGCGTCAGGCCAGTTGCTCGAGTGGAATCCCCATAGGAAGCGACGAGTTGGACGTCCGAGGTGAGGGTGACATGGAGGAGGTCGTACGAGGAGGAAATGAGAGGTTGTGGGCTGTCGTGGGACCAGGTTCAAAAGATCTCAGAGAACAGAGTGTACTGGAGGCGTGCTACTGAAGCCCTATGTTCCACTAGGAACCCAAGGGACAAATAATAATAATAATGTGTTTTCTTGTAGGAAGCTATGATTCAGTGTTTTTATAAAATCCTTTATAATTCTATAGTTATACATTTGTGGAAAGTTTGAACTGTCATCATTTGGTTTTTTCTTTAGAGTTGCATTCTCATCCCTTCCAAGTCTACTCATAGTAGTTACTAAAAATTAAAATCGGTTTTTATTTTCTTCACTTCTGTTAATCTGTCGCTTCAACTGATGACAAGCAAAGCAGGTGAAAGTTTATCACTGAGTAAATGTACTGGTTTAAAATTAAAATATCATTTTGAATGTATTGATTCAAGAAAGACTGGTACAAAAATGTATAATCCATATATGCTGGCTAAAAATGTGGTTCGACTAATCTTATGAAGATCATGGACTGGAAATTGAACTTGAAGAGTTGATAAAACAGGAATAAAAGATATGAAGTTTAAACCAATCTGAAATGATTCTCTAATCAAATCTCGTTGATAGACCACCTACTCAACGCTCAAGTTATTTAGTTCGTATAGATTAAATTTTAATCCAAAATTCTATTTATTATTATTATATTTATTATTAGTCCCTTGGGTTCCTAGTGGAACATAGGGCTTCAGTAGCACGCCTCCAGTACACTCTGTTCTCTGAGATCTTTTGAACCTGGTCCCATGACAGCCCACAACCTCTCATTTCCTCCTCGCACGACCTCCTCCATGTCACCTTCGGACGTCCAACTCGTCGCTTCCCATGGGGATTCCACTCGAGCAACTGGCCTGACGCGTGATGTCCCCAGTCGCCCTACTCAGTGCATGGCCAGTCCATCTCCACTTCTTCCTGCATATTTGTTGGGTGATAGGTTCTTGGTTGCTTCGTTCCCAGAGTTCCTTGTTGCTTATTCTTATTATTCTGGCCATCTGATCTTCAGTAGCGAGCCAGCGTAAGCAGTTGTTGATGAATGTCTGTAGTTTATTGGAAATCTCTCTCGTGACGCGCCAAGTCTGTCAACCATCACACAGAAGCACTGACTTGACTGGGTTGGTGTTGACAATCCGGATCTTGTTCCACATGCTGAGTGCAGAAGATCTCCACACTGGTTTCAGGCTAATAAACGCCTGTCTTGCTTTTCCGATTCTGATTTTGACATCCTCATCTGTGCCACCTGTAGTTGAAACAGTGCTTCATAGATAAGTGAAGGAGGTTACTTCCTTCAAGTTTCTCCCGTTGATGGTGATTGGAGTTTGTTGTTGTTGTTGATGGTGGTGGTGCGGTATCTTCATCACCTCTGTCTTCTCTATATTCACCTGAAGTCCCGTCTCAGCTGCCTCTTCTATCAACTTGTTAGTTTTTGCCTGCAGATCTTCAAGTTTATGTGACATTAGGCACAAGTCATCGGCGAAATCCAAGTCTTCTAGGTTCTTTTCCGTCGTCCAGCTTATCCCCCTCTTCTCGCTGCCTACTGTTTGCTGCATGATCCAGTCGACCACAATCAGGAATATCATGGGTGATAGTAGGCAACCTTGTTTCACTCCTGTCTTCACTTCAAAAGCATCACTGAGCTTCCCCCAAAATTCTATAGTTTATGTTATTGGTTTTAAAATGCTAATGGTATATGTATATATATTCCGAAACGAATATAATACGCGCGCTTAGCTGACAGCTAACTTGGTACGCAAGAGACACTGGCTGCAACCCCGGGAAGAATAGAGAGAAGACCGAAGCTGGCAGATGTGAGAGTGTATTACTCCGAGAATATAGTAACAATGAATCAATCCAAAACACGTGAATAAGTATACACATAAAAAATGACCTTGTCCGCGATTGGAGAAATCCGCATGATAAGAGTAAAAGTTAACCAATCAGCGAATTACATTACAATAGTAGCAGAAAATAGATTATTAGTCGTACCGCAAAAACGATGTGGGAATGACACGTTAAAATGTTCAGATCAATAACAATGTTTTATACAAGACTTGGGGCATCACAACAACAGTTTAAGTGTTGTTTATTTGAGAAACAATCACTTCTCAAGATTTAGTTTTAGCAATTTTAACCACCAACATTATGGAACACCTCAGTTAAGTAACAGTTTGTATAAGATTCTAATCACAGGCAGGTAGCATAACAATTGTGCAATTTTATGTGGTACTCACTGATTAGTTATATCACTGATTGATCAAACTTGAACATATCAGCTGTTCAAGTTGAATTTCGTTTTTCTAGGATGACACAATTGATGCGGAGTCTGATAACAATGAGTTGAGTTTAGAGGAACAGCGATATGTGGAGAAAATATTTGTTAACGTGTATCAAGGGTTGAAATTGATCCCTAGTTTAAAATCACAACAACGACGTCATAGTTTTTTAAATTGTATCCATCCGCCATCAAATTCACTGGTATTATCGCATTATGATGAGTGAATACAATTCACATGTCAAGTCATTTACAACACACAATGCAAGTGACAGATTATTTGTGATGTTGAAGAACATTTGTTGAAATATTTAAGTGTTTAGTTAACTTTGTTTCACATTTTCACCAATTATCTCTCTCGATAGACTTTGGTCAGTAATGGCACTAACAGTATGATTTCGTTTATAACATAGATATAATTACAGCTTTTCAGTCGTTTGGTAGCTCAAAGATAATGTCCACAGACAGTATTCAACAAAGAAGACTCTTTTCAACGAACTTTTCTCAAGCCGTACATATATATATTATATATATATATATATATATATATATATTTGAGACAGTTAGTCCCTATTATGAATTTCGATAGTTTACTTAGAAGACGAAGTTTATCTGAACAATGTGATATATTTGTGTAATACATTTTGAACAATCCGATCACACATTTACTCTTCAAGTCAATCAATATATATTAAACTGAGTAGTGGGAGGACAAATACAACAAATAACACAATTGGGGATTATAATTCAGAAAGATGAGAACAAATAGGAAGAGTGACCTAGTTGATCCTAATCTTGGTAAGAAAGCAAACTTTACCAATCAAGGTAGGTTTAGTGTAAGAACAAACTGTTTTTGTACACATAAAGGTGGTTTAAATTTGTGTATGGCTATGTCATCGGCAAATCTCAGTATAATTCCCTGACTGTTTCTATATAAAACTTTGAAGGCTGTTTGTCACCTGTTTCTATGGTATGTTTAGCTATAGATGAAGAGGGTCGTCTCCTACCTGCGTTTATCACTGTTTCACACTCCTATGGTTATATATATATATGAAATTAAAGACTGTAATCCTTGAGGAAGACAACCGAAATTTGAAGGTGATGAAGCATCAGATGTCTTGAAAAATCTTCTTTCTAGATCAATTAGTAGGACTTTTTACCCAGTCATTCTTCATTTGATCTTTAAACAGTCGTTTGTATAAAAGACAATATCTCTCAACAGGCCATATATATATGTGTATCTACGGGTTCACCCGCTTCTGTGGAGCAAGGTTCATGGGCCGTAGCCAGAGACTGCTGTCAACATATATACGAGGACATATTCCGGCCTGGTTTTATAAGAGTCAAAGGAAATGCATCAGAAGTTCCATCCTTAAGCAATTAATCGATTCCAACCATCCAACCGACCCAAACAAGGATTTCAAGGTTTTTGTATCGAATTCGCCGAAATGCCTCACGTTCCCTCCATGTTCAGCTTCTTAAAACAGCATAGGCTTCGGCTATCCATGAACTGAAGCCTGTCTGACCTTCGTGTGCAAAAGAAGTGTGTACAGTCTTCGTCTCTACTTTGGCCTTGATTTATTTCAGTTTTGGTGCGCTTCCTCCTCTTTTTTTCATTTTTCACCCCTTTCCCTTTTTTGTCAGATTCATCTTCGTACTCTTATATCATCATTATTACTTTGTTTTTTATCTTTAATCGTTTCCGGTGTTATATGACCATTTGATCTTCCTAACAATCGCAAATTTTAACAAAACATTTCTTGGTATACTTGTAGTTCTCTGTCATTTTACTGGATCAAATTGTGCGACCTCCACTGACATATGGGCTCCTATACGGATCCCTCAATATTACCTGAATGTTAATTATGGTTTGTTCAATAAAATGAGTAAAACTTGGGCACTGTGGTCCATTGTAATTCCATTTCAGTCCGTTTATTAAAAGCATCACGTAGTTAAACTGTAGCATTTACTGAATAACAACGTTTCAAACACAATTCATTGTCCATATTCATATCAGGTAACTAACTACACAACTTCCAGACACACTTCATATATACTCCTAATTTTCTCTCCTTCTCTGTGATGACAAGGGTAGTAGAATCTCCCATATATCTGCGACAGGTCCACAATCATGTGTGTTGGTGTTGATTCGATAAACAAAGATTCAGTCGGTTATCGATGTCTCACTCCCTGCATCCAACTAACTTACTGTTCAACACTGTCACCCTATCCCACCCTACTGTATGATTATGTGTCATTGTATGCAGTACTACACCACAGCTTTTCTCTAGATTTCTTATCTGATTACGATCTACTTATCTTGATTTAGCTAAGTTGTCGTACTCTGTTATTCTAATTGACCCTGGCTAGTCGACTGATTTGACCGATGTACTCACCTGGCAATCATTGTAAGGGATCTGGTAAACCACATTAGTTTGCTTAATTCCATCGATAGGATCTTATAAATCTACAAAACTTGTTTCTAAGCGAGTTTGTTGGTTTAAATGTCAGTCACTTTAATCCCAACCAGCCAGCTTTATTGAGAATTGTTGGTGATGCTTGTGAGTTGCCTTCCTTGTATGGTAACACAGTAGATGCTTTGAATTCTCCCTTAACCCTGTCGCCATTATTGCCATAAGTAGTGTGATTATTATTGGCAACACCTATATTACTATTATAACTACCACTGCTAATATTTTTCAACCGATTTCTTATGAATTTATATATAAATTTTGTTGGGTAATTATTGAGACGTGGGGCATTCTCGATGTGTCTGATTTCTTGTCACAGATTTTCCTATCTACTGGTTAGCTTTATCGCTCTATGACTTAAGTATTTAACTAGGCCTGTATGAACTGAAATGGGGTGGGAGGATGTGAAGTCTCAGTAGCGATTCAAATGGGTAGGTTTTTTTCCCCAATTCATTCTTATAAATCTGTTGTCCCATTCATATTACCTAATCCTTTGACTGTTTATTAACTTTTCCATGTTTTCACCCCCTTTTTAACCTATATGCACCTTTTGAAAGGTTTAAAACTCTTACGTAACCCTTGTTGTTATCATCCAACCTTTTCGTCATCATTCCTCCATTATTTAAGTTAAATCTTACTCACAGATTACAGCCTTTAATTATCGTATATATGTATGTCAGTTTAAAGCTTGAGAATGAATTCCTTGAAAGCAGTCCTCTTCGCTGAATATCCTGTTTTTGATGTCATAGTGGGAATTATGAATGTAAAGATCGTATGTTCCATAAAACATAATTCATCCTCGTATGAAGTATGATTCTGTGCTAAATTTATTTAATGCATATCTCGGAATACCTACGGCAGTCAATCTCATACCGTGTTGAAGTTTTAACTACCATAAGAATCCAGATTTCTGTTTAACTTTGATAATCTCTGCAGAAATAAAATACAATTTTTTAACTTGAAAAACCTAATTCTTGCCAAAATCATTTTAGGTGGTCCATGTGCAATAAGCTATACATCAGCGATTCATGAAGATTCCTACTGGTCAAATTTACATGCAGATGAGCTTATTGAAAGACAACGATTCACTTCAATAACAGTTAAAAGCCAAATCACTGGGAGATCATTACAAGTTTGCCAAAAGATGAAGTCATCGGTAAAGATTAGGTTAATTCTAAGCAGTACTCAATCAATAGGAACTATTTACCTAAATTATACAATTTCTTGTTTATCAATTTTATTTTTAGTATTATTATTATTACTATCATTTAGTATTTCCATAAAGTATATATATATATATATATGGCCTGTCTGCAGTTTCCGTAAGCCTGAATATTCAATCATCATGATCTTAGTTCAGTATACAGTCTTGTACGCTCACCTTCACAAAATCCTTAACACCTTTCAAGTGCTCATCGGTTTTCACTGATTCTATTGATGATTTCACCCCCATAATGATGACTGCTTTAAAGCGTCTAGTATAAGTTTAAGATGGGTTTATTCGTTAATTATTTACAAATGTTTTGAAGATTGCAATTACTCTTGTCTAACTTTTAGTTACAAATATTTTGGAATAAGGTGTCGTCAACTTTTAGAAACATCAATTATTATACTGTGATTTTATAAGGTGAAGACAAGAACTCTATTCTGTTGCATTGGAAACGTTTTGTTGTTTCAGTTATAGTTTTTAGATCTTGTACTTCAGTAAACTACAATTTATTTAAAAGCAGTACATCCATAACCGAATAGAAACATTCAAAGATGTCGAAGATCATTTTTTTGGAATTCCTGGATAGTTGTTAAAAGTTAATATTTCAGGTTACATAAATGAAGATAGACTGCATCAAAAATTTTTTGTAGTCAGCTGTTGTTTCAGTTGGTTGAAATATTCTATAAGAAAGTGTTCAATCTCTTCGATATAATAAACAGTCAGAATGTAGACGTTCAAACGAAGTAAGAAATTGATGGTCTGGTAAAAGCTTTTGGGATTAACTAAATTATATTTCCGAGGAAGTAATAGTCATGGACTGATATCATTTGAAGAACAACTGAAAACATGAAAGCAATGGATGTATGTTTCGTCCAAGTATGGGACTCCTCAGTAGAATGCATGCATGACCTGAAAGTCCTAAGTTTGATCTTGATGGGTTCATAAGGAGTTCCACATCTGAACAAAATGGATGTCCTTTACTCTTGGGTCTTCAATGATTCTCCAACTCATGTTAGTCCTAGTGAATAAAACCTTAAAAATAAGGTCTCCATAAATCTCAAAGTACACTAGATGACATTTATTATCTCGGTATTCATATTCCCTAATGAATGTAAAACAAAATCACGTTTTGCTATTTATTACTTATAGTTTTGACTAAGTCATAGTCAGCCAGAATTTACAACGTCCAAGCGTATATATGTTAAGTGGTTTTGTAATGCGAATTGATGATTCAACATTGTCAACTAGTTGATCGAGATGACAACCATATGTGGTGTTTTTATATTAATACTGGATAGTGGCTGACATTGGAACCCACGAAACGCGATTTTTTCTGTTTAGGACTCGTCAGCTGGATGGTTCTGCCCCTTAGTGAGCAATGTTGGTCCCACTCAGACTAGAATCCAGTACCATTCCTTTCAAATACTACATCGTTATCCACTTGTCCAACGAGTCAAATAATATCATACATATGCAGTTTGTTAGATATGATGAGAGTATGAATTACAGATTTGTAGTTTGTATGCTGGACAGGGAAAAAGACCCTAGAAGTTTTGGATTTCGCCAGTGATGACTTGTGGCTAATCTCTTGTGACACAAACTCGAAGATCTAAAGGCAAAATCCAACAAGTTGATAATAGAGGCAGTGAAGGCAGACAAGACTTCAAGTGAATGTAGAGAAGACAGAGGTGATGAAGATATCCAACCAACACCACCACCATCAACAACAGCAAGCTGGAATCACCATCAGCAGGAGGAAATCAAAGGAAGTAGCCTATTCCACCTACCCACATAGGCAGCATCATTTCAACAACAGCAGGCGGCAGCACAGGCACAGATGAGAAAGTCAAAGCCAGTCAGGATCGGAATGATAGCAAGACAGGCCTTCCCTCATTAACCTGAATATAGTGTGCAGATCTTCTGCACTCCACTCCACTCCACTCCACTCCACTCAGCATAAAGCGTCAACAACATCCAGATTTTCAACACCAATCCAGTCAAGTGAGTCAGTGCATCTATGTGATGTGGTTGAGAGACTTGGCACGTTATGAAAAGCATTTGCAACAAAGTACAGATATTGATGAACAAGTGAGTACACCGGCTGGATACTGACACTGAAGCTGAGATGGGTGGCCAGAATAATAAGAATAAGCAAGGAGGATTTTTGGCTAGCTGACTGTCAACGAACCAACCAACAAAGGAAGAACCTATCGCTCAACGAATATGCATTGGAAGGAAGTAGAGATGGATTGGACATACACTGAGAAGACCATTCGGTGACATCACGTGACAGGCCAGGTCGTTGACTGGAACGTAGATGGGAAACGATGAGTTTGGCGTCTGAGGTGAGGGTGACATGTAGGAGATTGTGTGAGGAAGAAATGATAGTTTGTGGGCTGTTGTGGATCCATATTGAGAAGATTGCAGAGAAGTGGGGAGTGTAATGGAGACGTGCTACTGAATGTATGAACCCAAGGGACAAATAATAATAATAATGCTTACATGTGCTCATGGGTCTTATCGCATGTGTTATCTTTGCGATTTAGTGGAGGTGACATTCGAATCAGGTCAACCTGTTATACCCCTTCATTGCTATTTAGATAATTTTTATTTCGTTGATATAAGTATAAAAAATATGTGGTCACTGTGGTAGAACATAATTCCATATCAAATTTCTTTATATGATATATATCATGTGCATAAACGTAATATGAAATTTTGATTCCATCTGTGTAAAGTGGTTCCGAATAATTTCTAAAGGCTTTCTGAATAATTTCGATATCATCGAAATCAAACTTACGGCTTGATATAAGATCGTGTATAGCTATTGGATTTCTAAGCGGTTGAGTGAGAGTCATTCTATGTTTATTTTTCCCAATTTTCGATTTCACTCAAACACTGTCCTATGCATATTGCACTACACTTTGAGCATTTCATTCCACATACACAATTCGATTGTAAGCTCAGGAGAAGTTTATCCTTCACATGAACTAAGATGCTTTGTACTGTGTTTGGTTTTCTGCAGAACAGACTGATATTAGATTTGTTTCTCACTCTCATCCTACCTGCATGACCTATATAAGATGACTATTGTTGCCACCTATGATCTATAAACCAAGGTTGTTTATACAACCTTGTTTTGTTCTGCATTCTTTAGGAAATACAAAATGCTAAAACATTGAGTTCGTTTACAATTGAATTTTCGTAAATATGTCAAGGATTATTCATGTCATATTTCTTGACTCTAATGAGAATCATTAGATAGAGAATGGTGAGCAATAACAGGTCATGTTTACAAAGAAGAACAAGCTACCTCTTGATGATGGATTGTTGGTTGTGCTATAACTGATGACATTTCAGTCACGTGACAAGTAACACTCGGATAGCACCTTTCATACGTATTAGTTTTATAATAACACCATTATTAGTTTGATATAAATTATTAATCATTTTGACTATCTAAGATGGCCATGGTTTGGTAACCACCCGGGGTTTCTGGTTTGAATCCTGTTAAGGCTAAAATTTTCATTTCACTTTCATTCATCACCTAGTATCAATACAAACTGGTGTAGATTTTCATTTATCTAGTAATGTTATCCACATTGTTTTGTAAAAAAAACACACGTTTTCTTTGTCATTTGCTTTCTAAGATTTATCAAAAAATGAATCTAAGTACGTGCACTACTGGACGGTAACATCCACTTTATGGTTGTTTTTCTTCTATTTGTAACTTATTGTTCCTTTAAATTGTCTGTGTGGTAGTTAAAACTATCCTCTTCTTCTTCTTCTTCTTCTTCTTCTACAAAATGTCAAATTAACAGATTTGTTTTCCTGAAAATTATGAAAAGATTGAACAGAAAGCTAAAAAATTGACAAGAATTGGCAATTCATCCTCAAAATCGGATTCTTCATTCACGAACAACAGTGTTGATAGTCTTTATCAGACAAGGAAAAGTACTCTACTCTACGGAAAGAATAATGTAATGGTATGCTTTTTAACTAACTCTCTTAGCTATTCATACAGTAACCATGTAAATCAGGAGATAACTACTATTCATCTGTGTTGAAATCATTAATTAGCTACTGCTGTTCTGATGTTGTCTATCTGACACTGTATTATGAAGATTATTCGAGATATGAATTTTAAAAATGGTCAGTTGATCGGTTCGTCACTGGAAAGCACCGAAAGAATTCTAACGATCACTTAGCAATGCAGTCACCAAACCAAAATGGACACCATCACCGTGTACTTTGACAGATGTTGGTCTTCGTCTAAATGAAACTTGTTCTTTAGTCTTAAGGTGTGTCATTGAGTTACAGTTTCTTTATCATGTCAACACCAGTATTATCATCCGCAGTATGCAAGGTTTGTAGGATGAAGAAGCACTTCAGTGAAGTTTAACAGACATTTTGTTGTCCTATACTAATAACTTTAACACTCCTGAAATTGCATACGAAAGCCTTACATCCAATCTCATTCCGTTTTAGCTTTGAGACTGACGTGATTATCACTACAATCAAAGTAATACAGCTCCAATAACGATATGGCAATAAAAATTCTAATACTACCGGTAAAAAGAAGCGAAATGACATGAAAGAAGAACAAGAATATTTCTGTAAAGAGTCTCATTTCCACGATTTCATCTTCAAACATGTACACAATCGCTAATTTATACATTTCCCTAGTCTATCGATCCGATAGTTAAAAACGCTTCGTCAAGCATCACAACACAAATAGGTTGTCATTAAAATATGAAAACCAAAAACTGATGTCTAGTGAATATTACTCAAAACAAATTTAAACAAGAAGTTTCGTAACATGAAGATATAATTGGAAATTGAATTGCGATCAAGCAGAGCATAGCAATGAGAATGAGTAGCAAATTACTCAAGAAGTGAATAGTGTCAAAACAGGAAGATGAAAGAAGCTAGAGGTGAGTAGAGCAGACTGAAAACTAAGACCATGAAAGGAGAAGAGATTGAATAACCTTCTATTACGTACACGGTTCAGATTTCTCCATATGGTGGATGGCAATGGCTTCGGAGATGCAGAGAATATGAAGATACATAGTCTTTGGAAAGTTTGCTTCTACTTCATAGATGACTGTGAACGAGGAGGTTCTTGAGATAGGGTGATTCGTGTTCACGATGTGTTCATTTACAGCACTCTTTATCACTCCATCGTTATCTCTTTGCAATCATGCAGGATAGAGCTCTTCCACCCTTTCGGATAACAGTCACATTGAACGACTTGTATATCAGGTTCTACAAGATCAGATGAATTGATATATGTGAGCATAGAAGTGATTAGATGTGAATATTTCTCCGTTGAGTTATTAGAAATTGTTGGGCGACAAGAGAATGCTAATGTTAACGTTGGTGCAGAGAATGTTCTCTTTAGAGTGTTTGATATCCTCTTTTTTGGAGTGTCAACGGCAGAATCACCTTAGAAGTTTAGATTCATCCACAATGTCTTTCCTGGCACGATGTTAAGAGTCACTTTAGGAGGTGAATCGATCTACTTAACATTCCATCAGCTGTTCTTGTCAGCTCTACATTTCGAAAGTGGATTTTCGATTGATTTTCAACCTCAAGGGTGAATTTAATTGCTGAATGGCAGTTATCGAATGTTTGTAGAACATGATTTAAATTATATTGATGATCACAGATAAAGAAAGTATCGTTCATGTACCTCTTGTATGGTTGAAAACCTTCAGTCTTTAATTTCTTGAGTAATTTGCTACTCACTGTTGTTGCTACGCTCTGCTTGATTACAATTCAATTTCCAATTATATCTTCATGTTACGAAACTCTTGTTCAAATTTGTTTTGAGTAATATTCACTAGACATCAGTTTTTGGTTTTCATATTTTAATGACAACCTATTTGTGTTGTGATGCTTGACGAAGCGTTTTTAACTATCGGATCGATAGACTAGGGAAATGTATAAATTAGCGATTGTGTACAGCTTTGTAAAGGAAATCGTTGTTGTTCTTCTTTCATATCCTGATGGGTATATTTCACATGAATGACGCTAAGGTTAAAGGTATAACAAGCTATGAACTTGGTATATTATCTTTACCATGCAAATTGGTGTTATTTCCTTTAAATCACCTGTTAGAATGGAGACACTTTGTTTTACTTAAAGTTTGTGAAAAATGGCTAATAGAGGTGATGATCAACAACAAGCCTTAATCTTATCTGTATCACTTTCGGACATATTTTATTCTTGAATAACTGTATGCATAGTAAATTAAGTATGTAGGCATAAAAGTTGTTAGCTGGTTGGAGGCAATCTGGAGGAGGTTCCAAAGATAGGTTTGGTGCTTGTTGACACTCGTCAGTAAGGCATATCTGCATCCCCAAGAAAATTGATGCCCCCCATTGAGGTTCTCACCCACCACTTCAACCAGTTCTCATCCACTAAAGTGAGCCGTGATGATGAGTCTCCTAACTTATCGACCATATTGCAAATTGATCAATAGATTTCGGTCAGCCCTCAGGATTAGACAAAGTGAAATTGGTTACCGTCTAGTAATCAACTAATGTATATGGTCCAGGCTTACAGTAGGTCAACTGTAGCCCGAATAGCTCAATGGTAACACCACTCACTGCAACACTGGATAACACAGGTTTGAATTATTACTTCCTTTATGATCCCAGATACGCGTTGCTGATAGACTCGAACAAGCAAGAAATCTAGATTCAGTTCTTCGTGTCAATCACCTCCAAATAACTAACACCCATCTAAATGCACTGCTATAATGAGTACCCTAGTTTGATGAACACATCTCAGATGGAGGAACTGAATCAACTAAAAAGTTAGGACTAGGAAATATAAAAAATTATCACGTCGTCAATCATCCCCAGTATCGTGAAACTTGGTGACTGATCGCTTGATTTTAAATAAAAACACTTAAAAAAAGCTATGAAATCCTTTTCCCTAGATTATAAATTTGTAAACGAATAAATGCTTTCTTTCTAGGCATTTTTTGTCCCTCCAAGATACTACTTAGGATGAGATGATTACAGAAATTAGATTTTAGAACTGATTCACTTATCTTTAAAGCACTACCTGTGAATTTAACTGTTTACATAGATACATCTATGACAACTTGTTTAAATCACTTCAAATCGGTTGTCAGTCATATCTCTAGATAGAGAAGATGTTTATCTGTAGCTTTCTAATATAAAATGCAGCAGATAACATACAGCAGAATCTTCTAAATCTCTCTGAATATAAAAACTTCAATACATTCGTTTACCACTGATCCTGTACTACAAGAGTAGAAATTAAGATGTCTAAAACAAACAAACAAGGGAACCATTGTTGACACCATGGTAAGTTTAATGAATTCATGTAATGTTCCTGAATGCAAAGATCAGCTTAAAAGTTATAAAATGTTAATGATTCACCTGTGTAAAGATGATGTATACGAACCATTCACAACTGATGTCAGACAATTCCTAAAGTGGTCTTAAGTTACTATCAGGAGAGGTTAAATTTACGAAAATGATAGACTGTTCAAAAAATAGAACTACTGATATTATTTCTGTCTCTACTGGATAATGTTTCAGTTTACGTTCAGGAACTTAAGTCTGTGTACAATCACTGTTCTTTACTTCACAAAAAAGAGTCAGCTAACAGAAGTATATTAAAGTGGCTACTGTATTTGTAACTCTTTCTCATGTCAGAGGCAGTGAATGTAAGTAAACATCTGTTTTCTAGAAATATTAACCAACTCTCCTACGATTCCTTGAACACAACGAACGTACAGTGTTTTATAAATGGATGAGATGGAAATAACTATACAACTTAATAAATTTTCTCGTTCAGGTTGATTTTCTAAGTAGTCACCATCAGAGAGAAATATCCTATTTCCTTGTTTATAACATATTCACGAATGGGATCATCAACTTTACTTCATACTCTGAAGTGAATTTCAAGTATAAATGATCAGCACTGAAGGTGTTCAGAACGTCATCCAAGTCAAATTTTTCGTTATATATGATAAAGTTATCACCGATGTACCACTTGTGCTATACATGGATAATTATTAAACCAAGAACACTATTTTCAAGAGAGGATAGGAAGTAACCAGCTGGAATGTGAACCAGTTGGTGACCCTATTGTCAAGCCGTTTCATTTGTGTACAGAATTCTTCGTTGAAACTAAAATAAATGTCGAAGGTTCCTCTATGAAACACTTTTTTCATAAAGTTGACAGGTACGATTACGTCTAAGTCGCTAGAAATAATCTACTCATATATGAAGCAAATAGTCTCGACCAAGGAAATGCTTGAAGATATAATGTATACTCATTATTCCTGCTTTTTATTTTCCAAACCGAAAGTGTCAAATAATCCTCAGTGAATCGGTTTTCCTGTTCACTTAACAATCTGACCACGTGTTGCTGTCATCTAGCTCATAGATATAAGTTAAATACGTTATAAAGTGATTCGTTTAACACAACAGTTGGTTCTCTAATAATAATGATGATAATAGCAATGGAATCGAAATACACTCAGAAACCACATGCATGTTGCTGAAGTCAGCAGTGAGCCACACCTATTGTGGGAGGGCTGATGATACTATCTAACTGCCAAAACTTTCCTATGTAGAGTGGTGCTCGAACCCATAACCTATTGACCAAAATCTACTTGTTTATAAAAATGAGCCAAATGCCATCTCGCCTAGTCAGTAAACAATAATGATGTAAAATGTCGCGTGATTACGTAAGCGTGTCTTTCTAAAGAGGTGGGCGGTATATTTCGATAGTTCGTTAGGCGGTCACATGGTATAACATCTGTCTGCTCACTTGAATTATCATCGCTTAGATAAATAGGGTTTACACTAAAAAATCTTATTTTTCCCTTCTTTCTGTTAGATTTTCTCACTGTTCTAGCAAACTGTTTTGTTTATTCAAGTTGATAAGGCATGGTAAAGAAATGGCGCTATCAGCGGGATTTTTTAACCAATTTATCACTTAAGCCGTGAAGCTGAAAGTTTTTGACAATATTTAACAGTCCAAAGTATTGGACCGATTTTTCCTACTTAGTTAACTGAAATATCTTACTTTTTCGTCTGGGATGCTTTCTATGAGCTGGGTAGTTTTATCCTGAAGCTTCATTGTCTTTCTACATTATACACCATCAACATAACCTCAACACGAAGTTATCAGCATTTTTCTGAGAGTGGTTCATTAGCTTGTCCGGAAGAACTTGTTTGTGATTGGCTGTTTCCTTTGATTGTTGTGCCACTGATTGTATAGATTTTCCTGTTGACTGTTTCGCTGCTTCACATCTGACCTTGTAGTTGTTTGTCACTTTTCTGATTGGTTGATAGACTGGGTCTATATCTCTACGTTTAACGATTACTGACTGAAATGAATGCCAAACTTCTAGAAATTCTCTGATATTCTTTGCGTTTCATCCGTCCAAAATTTCTGCATTTTCAAAATTGAATTCTTGTCCATATTTATTTACGTGCATTGATATGGGAGACGAACTGTGAAATTGATAACCCAACTGATATTTATGTGAGCGAAGGTGAAGAGGACAACCTCTTTGTTCAATGAAGTGATGTTCGCAATTGTTGCAGTTTATTTTGTAAATGATGGCTGGTTCGTTATATTGAAATTGGTGACTAGCTAAGGGATCCACGACGCACGCTTCGTCCTACTGGACACTCGTCAGCCGTGCACTCCAGTGAGTTATTTTGTTCCCGCTGAAATCCGAGCCCGATAAGATTCGCTTCAAACGCCAGAGTGTTATCCACTAAGCCAATGGGGCATGATAACCACCTGTTGTTCAACGAGTATCAGTTGTTGTTATGATACTTGCAATTCCTGTTGCTCTATAGGCCAAATCTATCGATTTCTGTTGGCTGATCGGTTCGTATGTAGATGCCTCGATACTGCCGAAATTTTCATGATGTATTGATCTTGGTGACTTAGTGGATAACGCACTAGCGTTCGAAGACGTGGGTAATGGACTTGAGCCTCATGGGGAACAGTGTACTCACTGAGATACAGATACATCCAGCTGACGAGACCTATATAAGGAGAAACGTGCGTCCTTGGTTCCTCTGCTGGTTATCAAGGTCAGCATAGCATCACAAATTTCCTACCGAATCCAGGCATCCGTACAGGAGATCACCTGCCAACACGGCTCGAGCAATTCGACCTCGTATAGGAACGGGGAATTACACGTGTTATAACAACGATAGTTGGTTTGTTTCATTTGGCTATTGGGTCCTTTGATCTGAATAATAAAGCTTGAGTGTATTTATTGATTTTTGAGACACACCAATTTCGAGTGATCTTTGATATATTCTTTTTGTACTTCAGCTAGCTATCCACAAGTAAAACGTGGTTATTAAATGAACAACTAAACGCACTTTAACATACTTTATGCTAGTTGAACCAGTGATCTTTATCAGTCCTGAGTTTATCTAAATGATATGGCTTTATATGTGCCGACATATTGTACAAGTTGTGTACATAAGGTGAACGATAAGTCAGATGCGTCTACAGATACAAGAAAATTTGCTGATTTGACTTGGAAAAGGTGGAGTCAAAACTATTAGTGGTTTTATTCCGACACATCTGATAGGCACAAGGTATTGTGTAAGTGTTTATATCTCTTTGACGATCGTACATGGTGTCCTGGAAGTATTACTTTTTGTGACCTATCAACGTCTCACTCAAATTCATAATGATAGTGTGATAGGATTGATTGAACCTGAGTTCTGCATTCAGAAGGAACACTTCGGAAGTTGCTCCTACATTGAATTGTGATATATTAAAGCTGTCAGAATATGCTGGAGTTTCAGTTCCTAGTTTCTATTATTGGGTAACGGATAAAAATGTGTAGGCTAACTCATTTCCATTTCTTTGCCCTTTGTCAATATTTTACAATTTCTCACCATAATTTTCCTCATTTCCCATAATTACTTTACAATATCTTCACACGTCAGTGACACTAACAGTACCGTTCAAGGTGGTTTTCAGGACCCTTCATGACTAAAAAAAGAGATGGAATTGGATTTTTCTTTAAAAATTACTTTATCATGTATCTAGTGTCGTCTTCGTGCTACTGAAGCCCTATGTTCCACTAGGAACCCAGGGACTAATAATAATAATAATAGTGTCGTCTTGCAGACGTTCCCGTCAATCACTGTGATTTTCAATGAGTGGAATGATTTCTAAACAGGAACGTCTAAAGATGAAGTTATTTACTCCAACCTTTAGTTAACTGCCTTGGAGAACTGTTGGAGTGAGACGAGGTATTAAATGTTGAGGAAGAACGTCGCTAAAACCAATTAACCTGTCTTCGATGCCTCTTCATACTCATTCGCAAGATTCCAGTATAAAATAAAAACAAATTTAAAGAGATAGTCAAATTCTTCACACTCAACACCTGATTGAAAGGCATCAGTATGAGGGTGTTTATAAAACCCTTGACTTCTGTGTCTAATCAGCCAAAGATGAATTTCCAAAGAAGTACCAAGTCACCTATGCTTACATTTGCAACTTATCTATCTGTACCAACAAGTACTACACCGAAGCTAGACACATTATCTTCTCACTGAAAAAATCATTTATCCACAGAATGAAATCTAAGCTGAAAAATTATTATTACTATTATTTGTCCTTTAGGTTCCTAGTCGAACATACACATTCAGTAGCACGTCTTCATTCCACTCCCCACTTCTCTGCAATCTTCTCAATATGGCTCCACAATAGCCCACAAACTATCATTTCTTCATCACACAATCTCCTACATGTCAACCTCACCTCGGACGCTCAACTCGTCGTTTCCTATCTAGGTTCCAGTTGACGACCTGGCTTGTCGTGTGATGTCACCGAATGGTCTTGTCAGTGTATGTCCAATCCATCCACTTTCCTCTGCATATTTGTTGTGGGATAGGTTCTTGCTTTGTTGGTTGGTTGGTTCGTTGCCAGCCAGCCAGACAGCCAGCCACACAGCCAGACAGCCAGACAGCCGGACAGCCAGCCAGCTAGAGTTCCTCCTTGCTTATTCTTATTTTTCTGGCCACCCATCTCAGCTTCAGTGTCAGTATCCAGCCGGTGTACTCACTTGTTCATCAATATCTGTACTTTGTTGCAAATGCTTTTCTCAACGTGCCAAGTCTCTCAACCACATCACATAGAAGCACTGACTCACTTGACTGGATTGGTGTTGAAAATCCGTATGTTGTTGACGCTTTATGCTGAGTGGAGTGGAGTGCAGAAGATCTCCACACTATATTCAGGTTAATGAGGGAAGGCCTGTCTTGCTATCATTCCGATCCTGACTGGCTTTGACTTTCTCATCTGTGCCTGTGCCGCCTGTTGTTGAAACGATGCTGCCTAGGTGAGTAGGTGGAAGAGGCTACTTCCTTTAATTTCCTCCTGCTGATGGTGGTGGTGTTGTTTGGATATCTTCATCACCTCTGTCTTCTCTACATTCACTTGAAGTCTTGTCTGCCTTCACTGCCTCTACTATCAACTTGTTGGATTTTGCCTGTAGATCTTCGATTTTGTGTCACAAGAGATTAGCCACAAGTCATCACTGGAGAAATCTAAGCCTTCTACAGTGTTTTTTCCTTGGTTCAGCGTATGCCACTGTTCTCTCTCTTCACTGTTTATTGCATGATCCAGTCCAGTTGGTAACAATCAGGGATATGATGAGTGATAGTAGGTGGTAGCCTTGTGTTACTCGTGTCTTCACTTCACAGTCGTCACTGAGCCCTCCACTGCGAAGTACTTGGCACGTGGCTTCTTCGCATAGTTGAATAGCGAAAAACTGTAATTCATTTATTCTAATTCTTAATTTTTAATTATAAAATGTGGAAAGAACTGGATACAAGTATCGTGTACCTTTATTCTTTCAAACGGAAATTATTTTCAACTTCAGGAGTTATGTCTAATTACACCGAACCCTTTTAATTGTTTATATGCATTTGAGAATGTTACAAATGTGACTTATCTCTTTATGTGTTTTTCTTCAAACCTTTCCCTGTCGTGCCATATCCTACTAATTTCCCTCTAACTTTCTACATTAGGAAGCTGAGAGTATCTAGTATAACTCAGCTTCTCCTCTTGTGTTTCGTAAGCTCTTGCATCCTACTTGCTCTCCTCTATTGTTCCACTTTATTTTTCTCGGATTGCTGAGAAAAGACTATGCTATATGGCGTAGAACTTTGAAGATCGTCATCAGAACTAGTGGCGTACCTCTAAACCTTCTAATTGAAACAGTTGTGAACAAATACATTAATTCATGTTAATATCTGGCAGAAGTCATTATATCAGATGACCAGTGCCCTCTTCACTCAAAGCTTTATACGTATCAGTCGTCAGGAAAGACCAGAAGTAAATATATAAGGCTTTTTGCATGTATTACTAAATTTAAAAACTCTACAATACGGTACTTAGCTCGTCTGCTGTTCGACGAAGAAAGTATCAGATTTAATCAACTTTCTGTGACCAGATATAGTGCATAAGCTTTTCTAACAAGCGATAGATCATCGAATCCATACCTCATTATGAAAATATTTCCCCTTGAGTAGTTCAGTTGTAGGGTTTGCGAAAAACTGCACTATATGATGTACGCTTTAAATTTTAGTTTAAAAATACATACTACTTATGAGTATAACAATGATGAGATCAGGATGAAAACATTTTCTATAATCTATCACTTTGTATTGTTACATTTCTTTTTCTAGTTGGGTGATGAACAACGAGTTCCTGGCTATCTAGAGTTGATTAATTCTTCGAGTGATATCTTGATAAGATGGACATCGAATGATTTATTATTACAAGCTTCAGATATGAATATTTCTCGATCAAATGGAATTGAATATGATTGTGATCAATACCTATTAGATAATCCATTGAATGAGACCAACACCACTGAACCGATGAATGTTAACAAATATTCAAGGATAAATAACCAATTAGTAGAGAATAATACAGCTGCTGATAAATACTAGTAAGTTGTTTGATAGCCTTTACAGTATAAGTAACTTTCGATCACTTTGTTATACCTTCTTTGACATGTAATATCACATCTTCTTTCCAAGTTATTTCAGGTTCATATATTTTTATGTAAACACTTCAGAATAATTGAGTTTGGGGCTTTAAAAGTTTTTTTCAAGTTAGTATTCATCGTAAAGGAACATTGAAAACCAGGTTACGTAAGATTTTTAAATCATTTATAAGGTGCATATAGATGAAAACGGGATAAAAACGTGGTAGACTTAATAAGCAATCAAAGAATTATGTAATATGAATCAGACAAATTAACTTGAATAAACTAAAAGTTCCAGTGAAAATTTCTGACCAGTGAAGTCAATCTAGTTGAACATGAGAACAGTTACTGAATGATGATATTGGATGAAGATCGCTTTTTACCATGAAATATCAACCACCGGTTCAGTGGTAAGATTCTGGCCACAGAAGTTGAGGATCTTGAGTTCTAACCCCGGCAAGGTTATGGACGCATACTGCTGAGGAGTCTCATACGAGAATGAAATAGCTACCCTATGCTCTTAGCTGGTATCATCCCATAGTGAATTTCAACCTGAGAATGTTTTATTGAAAGTTGCAATTAGTAAGAAGATAAAATGAAGGTATGCCGGGAACTATTAAATGTAAAAATAAAAAGGGTAGTGATTATATGTGAGTACAACCATTAGTCCAACAAAAGAGGAAGTTGAAAAAACAAAATAGGAACAAAACAGAACAAGACTACAATAAGTTAAGGCCAAGGTACAGACAAAGACTGTACATCCTTCTTCTGCACACAAATAGTCAAGGCCTCTGCTGTTCTTAGAAGTTGAAATCAGAGGGAACATGAGATATTTGAGTGGATTCAATAGACATCCTTAAAATCGTTGTTTGAGTCGGTTGAACGGTAAGAAATTGATTAAATGTTCAAGGACACAACTTCTGATGCATTTCTTTTCACTCCTTTATAAAACCAGGCAGGAATATGTTCTAGTAAACCACAGCCAATGTACCTAGCTCCATATGGGCAGGTAAATTGGTGGCCTGTTAAGGTTAATTGTCTTTTATAGAAATGGAGAACAATTTGTGACTAGTAAAGATTGATGAACAAAGTTTTTTTAAGAAACTAAGCTGATGATTAGTTTGTTTGTTCACTAACTTCATCATGTTTTCATCCTTTTGTAATCCATATACACCCTACAAACGATTTTCACAACCTTGCGTAACCCTCCTTTTGTTATCATTCAACCTTAATGTCATCAACTAGCAACATTATTTTTTTTAGTGTTATTGCTTGTATTTCACCGTCGTTGATTGGACCGTATTGATCAGTGGCTATCGTGACTCGGTGATATAGTGGATTACGCGCTGGCGTTTGAAGCGGTCGCTCCCGAGTCCGAGTCCCGGTGGGAACAACATCACTTACTGGGAAGCAGGCACATCCAGCTGACGAGTCCCAAATAGGACGAAATGCGCATCCTGGATTCCACTGCTAGCCACTGCCCATCATTACTAAACATAGTAACATTATTATTGCGATTTATGCCTCTTTTTATTGAAGTTAAATGTTTGTCATGGATTATAGTCTTCGAATATCATACACATCTATATGAATGTACAGCTTGAGAATGAATTTGTTGAAAAGAGTCCTCTTTGTTGAACATCTTGTTTTTGATGTCATAGTGGGAATCATGAATGTCTGAAGATATGCCTAAACATCAATGATCTTCATTAAAATTGTTTTAGATGGATCTTTCAAGTATATTGTTCAATCGTTTAACTCATACATAATAGGCACTGTATTTTCCAAATACACTGATAATAGTGATGGTGTAAAAGATTGTATTTCTGAAATTCTTTTCCAGCTGACTATAAGAAGTGTTCCTGTTATTATTATTATCATTATTACTTGTCCCTTGGGTTCCTATTCGAACAGACACATTCAGTAGCACGTCTCCATTACACTCCACACTTCTCTGCAATCTTCTCAATATGGCTCCACAACAGCCCACAAATTCACATTTCTTCCTCACACAATCTCCTACATGTCACCCTCACCTCAGACGCCAAACTCATCGTTTCCCATCTACGTTCCAGTCGACGACCTGGCCTGTCGTGTGATGTCACCGAATGGTCTTCTCAGTGTATGTCCAATCCATCTCCACTTCCTTCCAATGCATATTCGTTGAGCGATAGGTTCTTCCTTTGTTGGTTGGTTCGTTGACAGTCAGCTAGCCAAAAATCCTCCTTGCTTATTCTTATTATTCTGGCCACCCATCTCAGCTTCAGTGTCAGTATCCAGCCGGTGTACTCACTTGTTCATCAATATCTGTACTTTGTTGCAAATGCTTTCCATAACGTGCCAAGTCTCTCAACCACATCACATAGATGCACTGACTCACTTGACTGGATTGGTGATGAAAATCTGGATGTTGTTGACGCTTTATGCTGAGTGGAGTGGAGTGGAGTGCAGAAGATCTCCACACTGATTTCAGATTGATGAAGGAAGGTGTGTCTTGTTGTCTTTCCGATCCTGACTGGCTTTGACTTTCTCATCTGTGCCTGTGCTGCCGCCTGCTGTTGTTGAAACGATGCTGCCTATGTGGGTGGGTGGAAGAGGCTACTTCCTTTAATTTTCTCCTGCTGATGGTGGTGGTGTTGTTGGATATCTTCATCACCTCTGTTTCCTCTACATTCACTTGAAGTCTTGTCTGCCTTCACTGCCTCTACTATCAACTTGTTGGATTTTGCCTATAGATCTTCGATTTTGTGTCACAAGAGATTAGCCACAAGTCATCACTGGCGAAATCCAAACCTTCTGTAGTGTTTTTTCCTTGGTTCAGCGTATGCCACTGTTCTCTCTCCTCACTGTTTATTGCATGATCCAATCGAGTTGGTAACAATCAGGGATATGATGAGTGATAGTAGGTGGTAGCCTTGTGTTACTCGTGTCTTCACTTCACAGTCATCACTGACCTTCACACTGTGAATTACTTTTCATATGACGTCTTATAATACAAGGTTATTGCAGTAACCATCTTCTATACCAATTATTATTCATAACTGAACTATTTTTTACATATTTTTGTAAAATATTTTTTTAGTTTAATGATTATTTATATTGACTGAAACTACTTACAAACTTTCTCTTCATATATTCAGTAGCTTCCACTTTGACGTTGTTACGATATCAGTGAACAAAATGCAATATGTTCATTTACATCAAGGTAGGTTACATTTAAACAAAGGTGGATTAAGTGAAGTTTGTTTTATATACATTTAGGATCTAATCATTAACATTGAAAAGATGTTTTGCTTTCTTTCAATTCCAAGTGATTATGTAATAGGAATTGTAAACACCAGTTTATATGGCCTAGTTATTCCGTTATTTCATGTAGACTTAGGTACACTCTAAAATGAAGTAGATGCTACAGTGGGTAAAATGTTCCAGAATAGTTTCTGGTCAGGGGTAAAATATATTGAATAACTAAAGGAGATTAATTAATACACATTCGTGTTCAGAGTGGGAAAATAGACAGAGGATTATGAAATTATGTGTAATTACGTAATACAGGATGAATGAATGGCAAAGTAGGAAACTGAACGAAGGGTTTTGAAGAACAAATTGCGATTATGTAATACCAGATAAACCTATGACATAGTAGGAAAATAAATAGGATATTATGAAAATAAGGTTGTAATTACGTAATGTAGGTTAAATCTATGACAGAGCATAAAAACGAATAAGGTATACATGTGGCAGACGAGTCTTTATGATGACCATGGAAAACATAAAGGTTGGATGTACCTTTTTTGTACGCATAACGCTGGTTTGAACTTCTTGATAGCTAGCGCTTTAGCTATAGACAGATGCTTTGACTTTACTACCTTCGAGTGGTTTGATTGATAACAGAACACCTCGTAAACTCAAGCCACTTAGCTCCTTTTGACAGCTCACTCAAAATACTCTACAGGGTTCGATCAAACTACTCGAAGGGAGTAATAACAAGGCATCTGTCTACAGTTGAAGTAGATGTCTTTTACATGACTGAAATGTTCGTCATACAATCATATCTTCAATATTCACTACCTTATTTAAACTAAACTAACGTCTTAGAGCGTTTCATTCAGTATCAGTCATGTAATCGTTTATCAATGTCCTTAGATGTCTAAAATTCTATTCAACCTTCAGCTATCCAACGAACTGAACGAATAAAAAGTAAGTAATTTAGCAAAGAGTCTCTTTTCCACAATTTCATTTACAAAGCTGTACAATCATAAATTTATACATTTTTCTAGTGTAAGGATTTGATAGATAGACTACTGCCATCAGTATTTCAGTAAAACATCAAAGGGCCAAAGCTTCTTAACAAAACAGCACAGAGAACAATTCAAGCAATTCAGATGTAACAAAGTTATAATAATAACACATTCAGATAAGAGTGTGGGTTTCGTCATACTAGACAGAAGTGTCTATATTCACAAAATGTTGACTGTAGTCTAGGACGAAAACCTGGTAACGAGAAAAATAAGATGGGACTGATTGAACAACAACTTATTGGTATTTTGAAAAGGTTAAAAAATGATCAGCTAATAACCAATGATTTCTACGAATGCATCAAACCAATCGGCTCCGCAAGTCAATGACTTTACATATTACCAAAAAATCAGAAGGCCGGTATACCTCTTCGTTCAATTTCAGACATATCTGAATCTCCTTACCACTTGATCGCAAAATATCTACCCAAAATCCTAAAACCTCTAAGAAGACGAATTGTCATTCCTCCTCTACGTGGTATTTTCGAATTTGTTAATTGCGTTAGAGACGAAGACGTATCTAATAAATGTATGATATCACTTGATGTCTAGTCACTTTTCACCAGTGTTCCACGTTCATTCATATGCAGATAAATAGAATATAACAACATAAATTTTGAGATACCGACCCCCACCTTAAGGAGTTGTTACTTAGATGCATATTCAACTTTCAGCTCACTTTAACGACGCCATTTACAGACAGAAGGATGGAATCACCATTGCATCCCCACTAAGCTCACTAATAGCAGATTGCTCTATGGTCAGTTTGCAGAGCGGACTCTTGAAACCAACGATTGAAGGCACATGGACGATACTTTCTTTATCTATGATCATCAATATAATTTAAATCATGTTCTACACATATTCACTAACTGCCACTCATCAATTAGATTCACCCTTCAGGTTTAAAATCGAGCAAAAATTAACTTTCTTGATGTAGATATGGATAGAACAGCTAATGGAACGTTACGTAGGTCGATTCACAGAAAGCCAATGTGGAATGGTCAGCTGACGATACTTGGGTATCTGTGAGTCGTAAACGAAATTTTAACATATCTCTTACCACTCATTAGACGAGTCTGCGGTCCCAATGTGTTAGAAGAGGAAATTTCTGTTCTACAGAACATCCTGATTGTATAAACGGACTCCCATCATGCTCTCTAGATAAGCACATCAAACGTAAACCTAGCAAAGAGAATCTTACTATCCTGCCAGAAAAGACACTCTATATGAAACTGAACTTCAAACGTGATTCCGCCATTGACACTCCAAAAAGAGGATATCAAACACTCTAACGAGAACATTCTCTGCATAAGCGCTAACATTAGTATTCTCTTGTCGCCCAACAGTTTCTAATAACTCAACGGGGAAACATTCACATCTAATCACTTCTATGCTCACATATATCAATTCATCTGATCTTGTAGAACCTGATATACAAGTCGTTCAATGTGACTGTTATCCGAAAGGGTGGAAGAGCACTATCCCGTGTGGTTGCAAAGAGATAACGATGGAGTGATAAAGAGTGCTGTAAATGAACACATCGTGAACACGAATCACCCTATCTCAAGAACCTCCTCGTTCACAGTCATCTATGAAGTAAAAGCAAACTTTCCAAAGACTATGTATCTTCATATTCTCTTCATCTCCGAAGCCATTGCCATCCACCATATGGAGAAGCCTAAACCATGTACGTAGTAGAAGGTTGTTCAATCCCTTCTCCTATCATGGTCTTAGTTTTCAGTCTGCTCTACTCACCTCTAGCTTCTTTTCATCTTCCTGTTTTGACACTATTCACTTCTTGAGTAATTTGCTACTCACTGTTGTTGCTACGCTCTGCTTGATTACAATTCAATTTCCAATTATATCTTCATGTTACGAAACTTCTTGTTTAAATTTGTTTTGAGTAATATTCACTAGACATCAGTTTTTGGTTTTCATATTTTAATGACAACCTATTTGTGTTGTGATGCTTGACGAAGCGTTTTTAACTATCGGATCGATAGACTAGGGAAATGTATAAATTAGCGATTGTGTACATGTTTGAAGATGAAATTGTCGAAATGTGACTCTTCGCTGAAATACTTGCTGTTGTTTCAAATCATAATGGGTATATTTCGCAAATATTCAATGAACAACAACTTGAACAAAACGCATAAAGTACCTTGTAATGTATAATTTGAGTTGGGCTTAAATACCAGCGGTCAGTTTAATGTCAACTCTTGTGATGATTTCGTATTCATCTTGTTCCTTCTCGGTGGAGTCTTGATGAATGTTTTTTTCTTATTTGAAACTCGCTGGTCGGCTAGATGTGCTTGGCTGACATTGAGTGTTGTTGTTTCCACTGGAATTCGATCCCAGTACCCATGGCTTCTAACGTCAATGCGTTATAAACTATACCGCTGGGCCGTGAGAACCACCCCATGTTCAACGGTTATCAGCTATTGTTTATTGTGGCTGGTAATTCTTCGTTGCTATACTGCATTGAATTGTTCGGCCTCTGGCCTAGTGAGTAACTCTTTGGAGCTTGAAGCCTCGGGTCCTGGGTTCGAGTTTCCGTGTGAACAACACTCACTTGGGTGCAAATAAATTCAATTATCGAGTAAAAAATAGGACGAAGCGAGCATCATGAATTCTACTGCTAGCCACCAAGTAGAGTACAATAAATGAATATCTCAAGAATACAGTGATATTCGTATAAAGACCCATCTGCCAACAGAAGTTAAGAAGTTCACCCTAGTGTAGCAACGTGAAATCATAAGTATCAATAAACAAGAAATCAAATAATGTTTCGAAAAGGGACATTCACCGAAAGCATTAGAAATCAGTGGCTCTACTTAACACTTAAAAGTGTTTAAACACCCAGTATGGTACTGCATGATGGAGTCTCAGGGTTTTGTTTAAAGATAGATATGAAGATATTTTGATGTTTACTCACAAGCAGAGAACTTTCAGCTACAATCCATATTTTAGCAACACTAGAACCGTATATTCCCCTTCCAAAAGTTATGTAGACTGAACTTTGAACGTGAATGATATGAGCCTTAAGTTATACATTCATATCACTGTTCTAGGGATTATGGTAGTCAAGGAGATGGTAGGAAAGTGTGGCGTCATTTTCAAATGAACGTGTATTAGCAAAGTGGAAGGAAGAAAATCAAAATGAACTGTGCCAAGTAGCATTTGATAACACATAACATCGAAAATCAATCGATCAATGTCAACATAGGACCAGGCATTACTGAGTAACGGTCCGAGTTGCCACAATTCATATCACTACATCAAGTAGAAAGGTAGTGAGGTGAAGGGGGAAGATAAGTGAAAGCAGTCAAAAGAAATATAAAGTACGAGAAGAAAGAAAAGAAGAATGACAAAATGGTGAGATTCGGTATAGCGTTGTTAAGATGACGATAATGTGTGTGTATGGGGATGCATCTGTGCCACTGACATCGGTTCTGAGCCATATCACCTAGAGTCTCCAACCACTGGTTCCTCTTGTCCCGCGGACCCCAACCACCTAGTCTGCATCGTCCTACATGGCTTAAACCAACAGTCAGAGACTTCATACATTGGTGCCATGTTTTAGTCTGGCCACCTCGGACCTTTTTTCAGCCTGAAACTACTTCGGCCAACATCGTGTGATGAGGCAGCCAGCTACTAGGTATACGTAATACGTGCCCCAAGCATCTCAATTGATGAAGGTTTACAATTTCGTCAACTGACTTGCCTCTACTCCTGACTTCTGCATTACGCACATGGTGACACCACGGAATATGACCTATACTACGAAGGCAACGATGGCCAAACACTTGAAGCCTTCTTATATCTTCCACTTTCAATAGCCATGTTTCACAGTCATACAGTAGAACAGAGTGGACAGCTGTGTAGTACACGTGACCCTTAATAGACAAACGGATATCACGGCGGCGTCATAGGTGGCGCAAATTGGCAAAAGCCAATCGAGCCTTTTGTATCCGTGCAGAGATTTCATCTGCAACTAACCCACCGGGGTTGATCCTACTTCCAAGGTAAGTGAAGTGGTCAACACACTCAACCACTTCACTATTATTAGACGCGGCACCGTTAGAGACCAGTGCTGGAGTAAAAATTTGCATTTGGGTGGTGAAAACCGCATCCCAAACATTCTCAAATTGTCACTCAAAGTGTTCAGAAGACTCCGCATCTTATCAGCATCTTCACTTAACAGGACAATGTCATCTGCATATTCTAGGTCTAACGAAAATTCTCCTGTGATTAGGTCAACATCTGTGTAATCAGGTGACGAGGGGGAAACTTCTGATGCTACTGTAATATACAGAAAGAGATATTTAAATTCACTGAAACCAAATTATTAGCTACTCTGTGACCCTTTTCTTTATTTCTGATGAGTCGACAGCAAATTGTTCATCTGAAAGTTGATATTATATCATTAAATAGGATAGAATTAGTGAAGTATACTACTGAATAACTTAAGTAGTCAGAAACCCCTCAAAACTTATCTGTAGATTTCGTTAACCAAATCAGAATGACCCGAAAATCCGAGACTATTTCACTTATTTGGTACAAAGCTCATCAGCAGGATTTCTAACTACTCTTTATTTCATAAAACTTTCGTGTCAGAGATCATACCTTGCGATTTTAGCTAGGGGTACTTTCCAACGGGTACCTTGTTTGCACTACAACTGAGTAGTTTGAAAAAAACTATACATTTGTGAGAAACGTCAACTTGAACCATGGGATTTGTAAATCAATTGCAAATTCATCATCCGATGCCCAATGCAACTAATTTTTCAGTTCTATTGATCATCACTTGCTGTAAATAGTTTAGGATATTGATACCGTGAACTCAGTTGGTCAACAGTTTGATCTTGTTGTTGCTCATAAACCGACCAAGGCAATACTATTAGTAATTGTCCAAAATTTCGCCAACACCGATAAATCCAAAAATACACATACAGGCTATGTTATATAGGCCATGTTACTGCGATCCTAATCACTGCTGTATGTCAAATTAGTTTGTAGGCTATTAATCGCAACGCATCATAACTATTCTGATCAAAATAGACTCATAAACCATGTTAGAATTTAATCAAAATTTATCAAATAGAATCTTAAGCCTATTTCTCACTAAGATTAGTAATGACTCATTATTTCCTTATGTTTTACTCTTTTTTTAGGCGGATCATTTGAATATCAGATTGTTTTCATTGGACTTGATGGTATTGCCTACCCACCTATCAGATTACAGGGTGGATTAAAAGCGGTTTATGATTTTCTTGTATGCTTGGATCAAGGTTTGAGACCCAGTGCTTTTCTGAATCCATCCCCAACTGATTTAAGTGGTAAGTTGTAGTTGAATGAGTCTATATCAATCGTTATCAGCTTACTGATTTATGATAGTGAAGTTATCCTATTTTGATGGAATTGTACATAATGGTTCGACTTTTTATCTCAACAGACCAATGGTCTCCACGGAAACCAGTAAGACAAAAAACAGTCAATTTGATAAGATCAACGTTGTGTAAGGTTTTTACTATTGGTTGGTATGATCTATCAATAAATGGTGCTATTAAGTAACATACCTTGTCTGTCATCTCATCGATGCACCAACTGACTGTCTTCAGCTAGTACTGACTATATGTTTATCCAGATATAAGTGTAAATAAGTAGTATGCATTGCACAGTTTTGATGTACGATTTGCGACTGGGGGTGTAACCAATTCCACCAAAGCAGTGGACTTCGATGGATGTAAGTTGGTTGGAGGCATTTGATAGGAAGTCCTAGGTCATGCTTCTTAGCACTTATCATCTAGACTACGTGAA